GACTTTCTAAAGTCTAAGTTCTTTAAACACGTTTCAAGTAAAATTAGAGCTCTATAGAGCAGTTATTATACATAGTTCAGTAGAGTTTTAAAAAATATAGGTTAGCCAATGATTTGTTATGAATTAGTAATTTTAAAAACTCCATAAAATTTAAACACTTTAGAGATGCGGTAACTTTAAGGCCACTTTGTCCAATTTTCAGATTTTACACATAAGGAAACCAGGGTGCAGAGAAATTACATGATCCATAGAAGTCCACATGCCAATTTGGATTTCCACTGTGCTCCTGTCCCTAATCCATGGACAGAGTTAATGGTGGAGTGGTAAGAACATCAACACATCTATCTGATGATTGCTACAAAAGATGATTGCTAAAAGTTTCCATTTTTTAAGCGCTTGTTTTCCAAGCAAAGAAAAATTTTAAAGTATGTGTGTTGCTTGATAATACCTGTGTTAATGGAGACTGAATAGCAAATCAAATCTGTCAAGAATTCCATTTTTGTCTGCTTTCCAATGCTGTGTCGGTGCCCTTCTACCAACCAGGCATTGCTGGTCTCACCTGTGGTCCTCTTCCCATGTGGGACTGGCTTTTCTGATGCTGTCTCTCAGGAGAGGTCACAGTTGGTCAGCAAGTATGCTACTCAAGAACAGGGATCCTGGTCTCTGGCTTGAAATCCTATCATAAAGGAAGCTATAAAGAAACAGTCGGCTTTGCTTTAGACGGTATGACTGTATGACAGTACTGTGAGATATACCATGGCATGTCAGTGTCATGATATCCTCCCATGTATACATCTTATAAAGAACTGCCATCATAAGGACAAAAAGTCATGTGGAATATTTTGAGCTGTCACAGACACCTATAGGAATCTGATGAAAATAATAAGCCCTAGCCCCCAGAAAAATACATGCATTCCAAGAATTTAGAGACAAATTCAGAAGCTCAAACCGAAGTCCACTGGGGCTAAGTTCCCCAGTTTTGCTGGGATCACATTTTATCAGCAGTACAAGAACGCTTTAAAAGAAGCCAAGTGGCCCATACACTCATACTTCTTGCCATGGCAGCCAACTATGACAGAGTCGTTCTCTCAGAGCATTTCATGCAACTTTATCATTCTGGCAGAGCCTGACTGGTTACTACTGGCCATATATCTCCACAAGTGCATAATTCCTACAGAAGGGGCCCTTAAAAAACTGAAATAATCTGAAACTCTGTAAATATTTAGGGGTGCAGGGAGTTTACTTTACTGTAGCTGTGATTAAGAGAAAATGCAAAGAGCACCAGAAGCTATAATTCAAAAAGTCACACTATGACTGATGGGCAGAATGGGGCAAAGGAAGGAAAAGAAGAGAAGGAGAAAGGAAGAAATGGAGGCAATTAATTTTAAGTACTCCAAAGTAGTGGAATCATAAAATTCCATAATGCCATCTTTTGTCTTATGACTCTACCATGAGTCATGATGAATTTCTGTCTACTACACTTTTGCAGCAAGCACCAACCACCATTTTCTGTCTCCTGTCAGGTAAAAAAAAAATCCCAAAGGGAAAGGGAACTAATTTAATTTCCTTGTTTTTTAAAAATATCTAATCTTTCCTACAATATAACCCAAAATACAAACCAATATCAAACTCAGTTCTTTACAGTAAACCTTTTTTTTTTTCAAAACAAATAAGCAAATAGTTCTTATCCTTAAGCTCATACTATTAGTCTTTAAACACAAAGTGCTTAAATTCTTCTTGCGCTCATTTTAACAAGAATGCTGTAATTGTGTCAACTGAGATTGTTCAGACCCTTCAGTGTATGTGAGGGAGGCATCAGGATTTCCACCAAGATCAAGTTCTGGTCTCAGTCCAGTACCTTCTGTAGAGTAACATCCAAAGGGTTAATGCTTTTAAAAGATTATAGCCATGAAATCCATATTTCTTATCAGCTTAATTTGTGCCATATTATATGTGTATATATATATACACACACATATACATATATACATATATATATGTATATATGCTGAAATTCTGCGGGAGAAGATAAGCATAAGAAAATGCAAATAAGCTATTACCATGGTGTCCATGTATCTGCACAGTAGGAATTGGCTTTTAAAGCATAGAAATAGGAAAAATAAAACACAACATCCTTATCCAACTCCACTTTTGATCTGAAGTCATTACAACAAAAAATTAAAAATTTCAAGGGCACTGGTTGTGAAGAAGAAGGAAAACACTTAATGATTTTACTAAGAAATAGCTATTAAATATTTGGAAAATTACGCCTGTGTATTTAATTTACTTAGTTATTAAACTGTTTATTTGGCCTTTTCATAAAGACCAGATATCATAGATTAATATAAATCATGTCTTTGCTATAAAGAACTTCTCAAACTCAACACACACAAAACAGATAATCACATCAAAAAATGGGCAGAAGACATGAACAGACACTTCTCCAATGAAGACATACAAATGACTAACAGACACATGAAAAAATGTTCATCAACACTAGCCATCAGGGAGATTCAAATCAAAACCACATTGAGATACCACCTTAAACCAGTTTGAATGGCCAAAATTAACAAGACAGTAAACAACATGTGTTGGAGAGGATGTGGAGAAAGGGGAACCCTCTTACACTGTTGGTGGGAATGCAAGTTGGTGCAGCCACTTTGGAAAACAGTGTGGAGATTCCTTAAGAAATTAAAAATAGAGCTTCCCTATGACCCTGCAATTGCACTACTGGGTATTTACCCCAAAGATACAGATGTAGTGAAAAGAAGGGCCATCTGTATCCCAATGTTCATAGCAGCAATGGCCACAGTCACCAAACTGTGGAAAGAACCAAGATGCGCTTCAACAGACGAATGGATAAAGAAGATGTGGTACATATATACTATGGAGTATTGTGCCTCCATCAGAAAGAATGAATACCCAACTTTTGTATCAACATGGACAGGACTGGAAGAGATTATGCTAAGTGAAATAAGTGAAGCAGAGAGTCAATTGTCATATGGTTTCACTTACTTGTGGGGCATAAGAAATAACACGGAGGACACAGGGAGATGGAGAGGAGATGTGAGTGAGGATAAATTGGAGGGGGAGATGAACCATGAGAGACTGTAGACTCTGAGGAACTAACTGAGGGTTTTGGAGGGGAGAGGAGTGGGAGGTAGGGTGAGCCTGGTGGTGGGTATTGTGGAGGGCACGTATTGCATGGAGCACTGGGCGTGGTGCATACACAATGAACTCTGGGACACTGAAAAGAAATTTAAAAAATGAATAAAAATTTTTTTAAAAAATCATGCCTTTGCAAAATACTTTTTATCAGATATAAAAATTCACCAGTTTAGTCATTAATGAAAAATACCTCATCTGTATGGATCAATAATCCCACTCCTCCTAAACATTTTGTGACTGAGAGAAATTAGAGCAGCAGTTTAAGGATGTTATCCTGAAGACCTTAGGGGGTTCTGGATATGGATGGGAAAGGGATTCCTGTTGCTAAAACCAGTAATCCTGCAAAAAGAAGGGGTTATTTGGATGACATAAATATGCATGTGCTGCTGTCCCACCACTTGTGCCTGCTGTAGAAATAATCACGATATTGAGTTCCCTGTTTGCTAGGGTATGACTTCTATCTGTATTTTCACTCAACTTTGGCAAAGTCATTTTTTTTGCTCTCAGGACCCCATTTTCTCACATCAAAATCAGTCCTATGAGTAGAACATCTGTACCTGTTTCCCTTGGTCTTTTCTCATTTCCTATAAGACATGTCCAGAAAAGGAAAGAGGGAGTACATGTTATGAAATAGCTGAAATTCATGGATACCTATTCCAAGTTTCATAATTACAAAATACCTATAAAATACTAATATTTTTTAGCAAATGGACTAGTGAACAAGCCTGATGTAAGTTAAACCAGCAATTAAATTGTGCTGAACAAGATGCTACTTTTTTTAATATAACAAATCTTTTTAAAAGAGACCTTGAGATGAAATTAGAATGTGCATGATTCCATCTGGGGATCATTGTTCAATTAAAGAAACCACTTTTGGGGCACCTGAGTGGCTCAGTGGGTTAAGCTTCTGCCTTTGGCTCAGGTCATGACCTTGGGGTCCTGGGATCAAGCCCCACATCGGGCTCTCTGCTCAGTGGGGATCCTGCTTCCCCCTCTCTTTCTGTCTGTCTCTCTACTTGTGATCTCTGTCTCTCTCTCTCTGTCTCTCTCTCAGTCTCTCTCTCTCTCTGCACCAAATAAATAAATAAAATCTTAAAAAAAAAACAAACAAACCCCACTTTTATGGAAATTAGTAAAAACAACTAAAAAGAGCATATATAAATCATACAGGGAGGACAGTATTTTAAGAGTTAATATTCTATTTTTTCTGTGGACATACTTATTTTAGAAAATTTATAAAATTCAGTAATGCACAAAGAAGATTGAAAATAAGAACCCAAGCACCCAAAACTGATATCTAAGAACACTTTGATGTACAACAAATTATAGTAACCTCATATTTAATGTGTGTAGTTTTAACTATTCTTGAGCAACCCTAAAGTCCTTGACCTATAATCTATTATAGTTTTTGCTGTTACAATCATGAGCCCAGTTCTGAGTCCGATCCGAAATGAGTGAACCTTGTAGCTAGTGATTGTAATAGTTCAGCATCCTCTTTTCATTGTGGCCCTGTGCTGCTTTATTGTTAGCAATAACTAGCAAATTTATATTTCACTGCATATGGCAGAAATTATATTCTATGGAAATAGTCACATTTAGGGATTCAAGTTTTGCTTATGAATGTTAATTTCTATATTTCTTTCCACATCTTTTTTGTCTTTTAGTCTTTTAAGAGCAAAATATTTTTTTTATTCTAAAAGACAGATTTGTACTTGAAAACCATCAGCTTCTATAGATATTTTTACAATAGGAAAACCTTTCCTTTCTGCCCCTACATGGGCAGGTCGATTTTCATTGAAAACGGCTTCAAGCTGGTTCTAATATTTACTCACTTATGCAGGTGCGTTCATCAGCATGGAGTCCGTATCCCGTATCACATTCACAGTGGAAGGTGCCCAGAGTGTTAATATAGCACTGCTGGCAGCCTCCATTCACCACCACACATTCATCGACATCTAGAGGAGAAAGACAGATGGCCAGGATTACAATGTCATTCCAATGTCAGCTTCAGAGAAGTGGCACAATATTTCTTTGATACACAGTATGTGTTATATTGCACAAAGGCACTGTCTCTGTTGCCACAAATCTTTGCTTGTTTGATCCATTTTGCTCCACAGTGTAAACAAGAGAATGTAGATAGAAACTTTATTGAGCTTTTTAAAGCCCAGCAACGATGAGCATAGGGATTGTCTCACAGTTTTCTATTCTTCACATACTAGTTAATTAGACAGATCTGAGATATAGATATTTCCTTGGGGAAGGAAAACCGGAGGGGAGAATTTCAATGAGCTATTCTATCTGGAGCAGCACATACTGGTAGATAAACACCTATTATTGGTCTGATGCTGCTGAATAAAGCCAATAATAGAGTTAAGACCTTGAATATCCTTCTCATGTGCTATGGTGGACATCAAGGCAAAGATAGATAAATTCAAATAAAATCATGGTTTGGAGTTCTTAAAAATACATCAATACATTTGCTCCATTGATTCAACCTTCTTTCTTTTCACTCAGCATTCCATTTTTCTGAAATACTTAGCATGTTTATGTGAAGTTTAATTTTAGAAAAAAATGAAAAGTGTTCAAGACTCATGGTCACCTATGTCTAATGATCAGTCAAGGTCATGATAAAAATCATGTAATATTCACCTTTCTTTAGGAAAGGAAAATAAATTCACCTCTCAGAATCTCTCTTTCCTTATACCCTATGTAAATCAGTACTTATGTATCTAAAATTATGAAGAGAAGATATCCACAAATGTGGGGAAAACTTTCCAGGAAAAAAAGGTTTCTAACTTTTTTTTTGGAGAATTTTTTTTTTTTTTAACTTGGAATCTATGTCTTTTGGCAAGTGTCAAAGTAAAAATCAGGCAGAGGTGGAGATTTAACATAGGAAAGCATGTGTCTCGGGAAGAAAATATCCCTGACGTCCCATGAAAATATCCCATGATGTCAGAAAGTTGGGTATGAATATTTGTCACTAAAATATGTTATAATGATGTACAATTAGCTTTACAAGTGAGATTAATTCCACAGGGAAGGATTCTTACTTGGGAAAACATCAACTTCGGCAAGGAATACTATTGCAATACCTCATCATAGGACTTTTTCATACTAAAACCATCTGATCTGTAATGAATGTTTTGTACTGTGGTAAAAACTATAGACCTTGACTTGAGGGAAACAAAAGAGTTTTCTTTCACTTGGCTTTGCTGTGTGTCAGTGTGTGAGAGAGAGAAAGAAAAAAAAATCCACATTTTGTACAATGTAGTATTTTCCTTCTAAATTTAGCTATTCTGCAATAACTTCTGATATTTTAAAAGGAATCTTATTTTAGAGATAAGAACTACTAACTTTTCAAAGTATCAGAATTTTTATTAAATTCTGAGTCCATGATAAACAAATCTATAAGTCTTTTTCATATAAACTAACAATGATTCAGAATTCTCCATTTGTTATTTGTACTTTATACAGGTATTTTACATTCACACTAGCTAAATTTTTATCTTTCTAGCTTTAGGATATTATTCCACAGGGGTTGAGATAAAATTTTGAATTTTAATTCTGTTAACCACTGAATTAGCTACCCTTTCCAGGTTTTTAACTTTAGATCTACAAATAAAACCCTTAATTCTCAAGAGTCATATGTTTTATGTGATAAAAGCATTAAAAATTTCTATTAAAGTTATTATAATATACCATACATATGTATTAAGTACATAAAAATATCCTAAAGTGTGTGAACAAATAAAAATGATTACTTTTGAGGTTGGAAGAAAGTCATCTAGATTGAGTGGAGTGCAGGATGTGTGTGTGGGAGGGTGTTAGATAAAGAGATTTTATCCACATCTCCAATGTTCTAATTTTGTATAAGAGAAAGTTATTCTGGTATTACTGGTATAATAAAATAGAATTTTAAAATTCTTTTTAATTCAATTATAGTTGACACACAATGTTACACTAGTTTCAGTTATACAACATACTGAAAGGACAAGTCTACATGTTGTGCCATGATCCCCACAAGTGTAGTTACCACCTATCACCATTCAATGCTCTTCTAACACTCTTGACTATATTCCCTATTCTGTACTTCTTATTCTTGTGTCTTATTCATTCCAAAGCTAGAAGCTTGTATCTCCCACTCCACTCTACCCATTTTGTCCATCTCCCCATTTTCCACTCCTCTGGCAACTCTCAATTTGTTCTCTCGTATTTATGGGTCTGTTTTTGCTTTTTGTTTGTTTGTTCATTTGTTTTGTCTTTTAGATTGCACATGTAAGTGCAGTCATAAGACATTTGTCTTTCTCTCTCCGGCTTATTTCATTTAGCATTAAAAAGTAATTTTAAAGAAGTATAACATGACCACCTACCTTTGCCCTCCTCATCAAGCTTCATTAATTTTCTGACAGAAAAAAACAAATTAATGTAAAAAAGAATAAACATTGAGTTTATTCCAAAGATAAGAATGGACATCAATCCTGAGAGCAAGTCTTCTTCCCGTATGTTTTGATGTGTTGATATTCTAAATCTGCCCCAAAGTTATAACTAAAGTACTATAAGTTATTAAACACACACACACACACACACACACACACACACACACACACAACCAGACTGTCCCTGGACTTTGAGTTAAATAATCTTGGGGAAAATATCTTAGTGTTGAAACTTACTGGCCTGTCACCTTGGTCTCTGAAATGACATTTGCTCATCTATAAAATGGGATAATAGTGATTGTCATATGTACTATGCTATGATTTTTTTTTTGCCTTCCCTAGTCATGCATACGATTTTGAAATAGATTGCTAATGACTGAGATTACATGTAGACTATAAACAGCAGGCAATTTTATTCCCCAAAATAGTGGAGCTAACAATGTAAGACTATAAAGTGAGAGTGCAAGACAGAAATAATACAGAACATGGGAATTCAGATGGAAAAAATCCATTTGGGGCTAGAGGAATAAGGGAATGTTAGAGGGTAAACACTGAGCAGTTAAGAGCATGGGGAAGAGGGTAGGTAATCCAAAGGTGCACTGGGTTGAATGTGCACAGTGTCTGAGATTCAGCATTCAGATCTGTCAGGCTGGAGAGTAAGGTTGACAAAAGGAAGTAAAGTTGAAAAACAAACCTGAAACTCCTTTTAATTAATTTGGCAAAGTGTTCCTCTTCTTGATTTACAATACAATACACTTCTAGGCAGGTTGAGACATAATAGGCTGTGTTCACACAGGAGCTAAGCAAACTTATTAACAGTTAAAAAAAATCAATCATTTCTAGAGTGGTACCAAATACAAAGTAATTGGTTTGACTTCCTTTTTCTTTTATGCCTTTTCAGAATACATTGAATGTACTGATTATGTATTGTGCAACTAATAGTTCTTGTCCCTGGCACCATGCTAGAATCACTTGGTGAGCCCTGAGTATTTCTACTACCCTTAAAGAGGCTCATTTAATTGGTCTGGGGTAAGACCTGGGAATAAAACATTTTAAAAGCACCCTAAGTGATCCTAATGTGTAGCCAGAGTTGAGATCCCCTGATGTAGTTAATGCTTTAAGCATCTAGGACCTTGTTAAAATGCAGATGCTAATTCAGTAGATCTGGAGCCGAGGGGCTGAGATTCTGCATTTCTACCCAGATCCAAGGCAATTCTGATGCTGCTGGCCTGTAGAATGTACTCTGAGAAGCAAGAGTGTAGACAGTCCTCTGGTCATGTAAATGTCACATGGATCACAAATGTCATGATTTGGTTCAACTTCTCAATTGTTTGGCCAAAGCAGACCAATTCAGTTCAAGTGGACAAATCAATACTCTGACCAAAATTATATATATGTTTTTCGATATATTATATAATATATATTTATATATTTTCATGTGTTCTATATTTTTATTTTAATGATTTATATGTTAATTATCTACCAAAAACCTCTGAAAATAAACCACCAATATTTCCCACAATATTCTTTCAATAATAGTTAATAATTTGGATGATTTCAGCACCATTTGTTATAAGAAATTACTTGCTTGTATAAACATGAAGGGCACTTCAGTTCTTTTCTGATAGAATACCTCTGATATAAGATAAAACCGGGTTAAATTGCCATGATATTAGACACTCATGCTGAAACTATCACAAGTGGTTTTCTTTTCCATCAAGATTCTGCCCAACAGAGTTAAAAACCAGAAATGTCAATATTACATTAAAATGTTATTATCAAGTATACTTCATGTGAAGAAACTATTTCTCCAAAAATTCTCTGAGTTCTATCATCATGTTAGATGGTTAAAGAAAGCCCTGCCCTTAGAATTGGAGCTCTGGGACACTGCTGGGAATAATGATAAAGTGATTAGAATTTTTTCAGCATTATCTCTGTTATAAGGACCAAGGATTTCATGATTTTTATACTATAAAAGAATGTCAAAAGAATCAACTATGTCTGCTATTTTTCCTTTTAATGTCCTTTCTTCAAATATTTCGGCTGTATTTATTCCCAAAACGATTTCCCTAGATGGTCACAGAATATAATAGCTTAAAAGAATTCACATTATTATCCAATATATTTTGCACATAAAAGCTCCCTGAGACAACAATGATCCACTTTTGTTTCCAAACAACAAAATTGTTTCATATTATTTTCTTAGAGTGTACAACCAGGATAAGATAAATTATTCTTCCATTTCCCTTTTAATATATTACTCTCAGGAAGCTGTTGATTGGAAATGGTTGTTCCTGGATTGCTTTATGATGGAGATTACATTGTAGAAATGTTAGGTTTGGAGGAAATATTGAAGGGTGTAGTAAAGATTCCACTAGATTTTCCATGTGGCTTTATTTTCACTCTGTTCTACCATAGTACGTTCACTCTGATATACTACAATATATCAAAACCTCTAACTATTCACTCGTAATTCTGTAGTTCCTGATTGAATGAACTCCTTAAGGTCAGAGATTCTG